TTTTATTTTTTGAATGCTATGTTGCAATACAGATCTATTTTTGATGCAAAGACAACTCAGTAAACTGCTGGCTTCTTAATTTTCAAAGTAAGTATTTTTTTAGCACAGCTGTAGCAGTGACACCCATGGCTGAGATTTTTTTTCTTCAATTTTCTGGAGCAGAGCACTTGTTATTCTCTCTATGTCCTGGAGGCCACATAGGACAGCCTTCCTTATGTTGGGGACTGCAGATCTGGATGCAGCACTCCAGGTGGGGTATCATGAGAACTGAGGAGTGGGTCTCAGAGCCACCTCTCTCACCCTGCTGACCACGCTGCTTTTGATACATTCGGGGATGCAGTTGGCCTTCAGGCTGCAAACCCACATTGCCAATTTATGTCACTCTCCTCGTCCACAAACACCCCTAAGTCCTTTCTCTGGGGCTCTTCTTGATCCATTCTCCACCCAGCCTGTATTTGTGCTTTGGATTGCCCTGACCCTGGTGCAAGACCCTGCACCTGGCCTTGCTGAACTTCACAAGGTTTGCATTGGCCCACTTGTCACACTTGTCCAAGTCCCTCTGGAGGCATCCCTTCCCTCCAGCATGTCCATCACACCACGCAGCTTGCTGTCATCTGCAAACTTGCTGAGGGTGCACTTGATCCCACTGTCCACGCCATCAGCAAAGATGTTAAGCAGCACCAGTCCCAATGGCAACCCCTGAGGAACGCCACTCACCACTGGTCTCCACTTGGACATCGAGATGTTGACTGCAGCTCGGGGCAGCCAATTCCTTATCCACTGAGTGTTCCATCACCAAATCTTTCTCTCTGGTTTGGAGAGTAGAATTCGTGCAGGACAGTGTCAAATGCTTTGTACAGTTCTAGAAGGAGTACTAACTCCAGGCAGGTAATATCAGGCACAATTTGCCCTTAGTGAAGTCATGTTGGCTTTTACCAATAATGTCCTTATTTTCCACGTGCCTCAGCACAGTTTCAGAGGTTCCTTTGATGGTTTCAAATGCACTATAGAAACATCCATTTACATGCCTCAATGCATTTAAGTATCTCTCATGGACAGCTTGCAATTGAACACCCTATGCTTTTTATTTCTTACTGCCACAGAAATTATTTTATCATTGATTAAATCTGTAAAAGTGTTTTGGGGGCTTCTGAAAATAAATGCTCTTCTTTTGTCATAGTATTAGTTTCTGTTATTTATAGAGTATTCAGATTTGTAGTAATTGAAATAATAGTTCCTACTTGTTTCATTCTATCATAGAAGTATTAATTTATTTAAAAAATACATCCCTAACAATTTTCTGGAAAATGGATCATCTCAGATAGAACACATCTCAGATAGAACACATTAACTCATGCAGAGCTTTGAGTTGCTATAATATTTTCTTCTAGTCTCAGTGAATTTTGGGGGGCAGAAAGAACTTCCCCTGGGTATGATTTTATTGCTATGACTTTATGGCAAGCACTGGATTTCAGGGGAGAATATAGCTTCTGAGGTTCTTATAATGTGTTATAGAGATGAACATAACACATGGGAGCATTCCTTAGTAAGCAGTAGGTTCTGTATTACTTTCAAAACCAAAACTCATTTGTTTATGGCTACACTTATACTTTACATGATACTTTCTATCTTTCTAAATATTTTGAATGTTAATTCTTTATTCTCTGAGTAAAATAAGGTAGTTACATAATTTATTCTGCTAAAAAAATGATGGTCACTATACCACTCCATTAATTATATCTAAACTTTCAATTCAGTGAAAATTAAACTTCAAACATGTATCTCAAACTCCAGCTAGCCATACCCTCAACTGAACAGTGTTCCTGGAACTATTTTAATCTCTGTACTGGCCCAATGCTTCCAATATACTCAATTTGCCCCAATCTGGGAAGAATCAGGTTCCTTTCTCTGTATCTCAAAACACAAAAACAGATGCTGCAGTCAGGGAAGCCATGCTTACTATGCTTCCTATGTCCAAAGGGATAATTTGTATCTTAAGCAATAAGACAAAATCTCCTTCAGAATCTTGACCAGATGCCATCTCCTAGAGAACTAAGAGCAGCCAGAATGATGCAGCAATAAGAAGTCACAGTGACTTGTCAGTGGTTCTGTTCTGTTCAGCTGAAGTTCCTTAACATATTAATTATCATAAAATCAGTAATAATAGGCAACTTATATAAAACATGTTTACTCTCTGTCTTTTTAATTAATCCTACTGCTACTGTTGGAAACAAAGCAAAGCATATTTTTATTTTCTTGAATAGATTACTACAGTTCTTAACCAAAGAGACTACATTTAATAAAATGAAAAAAAATGTTGAAAACGATCATAAGTGATTTAGAATTACTAGATCATGAAACCTTTTGAAAAATATGGAAAAAATAGGAATGGCTGGTTATTACACAAACTAGTATAGCTGTTAATTACTGAAATCACTGAGTTTATAATGTACAATATTCTGGAGTGCAATATTTTAAGGTAAAATTCAGTGCTGAGTTAACATTAAGACAAAGAGAGAATATTTACAAAAATGACAGATTCAAAAGGTGTAAAATGCAATACTAATTCCACATTAATCCAGAATGTGAAAAAGTGTCATCTATAGGCACTGAGAATATTAATGATACTTGCATGCAAAAGGCCCAAGTGTCAGATTCTGTACCTGGGATGGGGCAGCCTTGAATGTATGGACAGACTGGCCCAATGCTTGCAATGTACTCGATTTGCCCCAGTCTGGGAATAATCAGGTGCCTTTCTCAGCACCTCCAGAATACATAAACAGGTGCTGCAGTCAGGAAATCCATGCTGGAATGAGAATCCATCCAGAATGAGGTACTGGAAAGCAGCACCACAGAAAACAACCTGCATGTCCTGGTTGATGGCAAGTTAAACATGAGTCAGCAGTGCCCTGGCAGCCAGGAGGGCCAGGGAACATCAGGCACAGCATCACAGCTGGGCAAGGCAGGGGATTGTCCCACTCTACTCTGCACTGAGGTGGCCTCACCTTGTGAGCTGGGGCCAGTTTTGGGTGCCACCATATAGGAAAGACATGAAGCTCTAAGAGAGCCTCCAGGGTAAGGACACGAGTCTGGTGAAGGGCTTTGAGGGGAAGCCACATGAGGAGTGGCTGAGGTCACTTGGTCTGTTCAGCCTGGAGGAGACTGAGGGGACACCTCACTGCAGTTACAACTTGCTCCTGAGGGGAAAAGGAGGGGCTGGCAGTGATCTCTTCTCTGTGGTGCCCAGTGACAGGACCTGAGGGAATGGCCTGAAGCTGTGTCAGGGAGGTTTAGTTTGGATATTATGGAAAGGTTCTTCACCCAGTGGGTGACTGGGCCCTGGAACAGGCCCCCCAGGGCAGTGGTCACAACATGAAGCCTGACAGAGCTGGAGAAGTGTTCAAACAATGCTCTCAGACACATGGTGTGTGAAGGGTTGTGCTGTGCAGAGCCAGGACTTTGGACTTTGATAATCCTTGTGAGTCTCTTCCGAATCACAGTATTTAAAATCTCTATGCGAGTGATAAGAGAGCAGAACCTAGCAGAAAACTAAAACTGGCATAACTGCTTTTCTTCCAGTCATTTTCTCTCCTTCTGCATCTTTTTTTCTCTAAAGGTTTGATGGTGTAGAACTTCTGTACATCAGCATTTGGGCTTTGCTTTATATGATAATGATTTTTGTCTTGCTGCCATTTCTTGCTTTCCACTTAGATTTTTTTCTCTCTGTCCTCAAATCTCCTGAGTCACAAGCAGAGACACTTAGAGAGTCAGACCAGAAAATGAGGCTTACTTTGTGTCTGGGTGCATGTAGCCCTACCTCAGGTCTAAACTCACCATTCAGGGTACACAGAATTTAAAGGGATCCAGAAATGACCTCTTCCTGTTTCAATTAACTATGCAGTCATCTGATTAACATTACTAGTTAATTTACTAAGTTAAATTATCACTCATGATCTGGCAAATGAAAGCATAAATTCTTCCTTTTATTAGTACTTAGTGTAAAAAACTTAATTCACAGTTAGAAACTTACTCACAGCAAGTTCATTTTTCCTGAGTTGCAAACAATATTCAGTGAGTACATATTCTTTTGTCTACAGGGCTGTTTTTATACATAATTGAAATACACCGTGGAAATTATTAGTTAAGTGAACTAGCACCAACAGCAAGAAACGTACAATGCCCGTGGAAATTATTAGTTAAGTGAACTAGCACCAACAGCAAGAAACGTACAACGTAATCAGTTCATTAATTCATCAGTAATTCTGATGAATTACTTTTAATAATGAAGCAGAAATGAAAATAAGTTTGTATTACAGGTTTCTCAGTAGAAGATGAAGGAAATGCAAATCATACAGGCAGACTATCTTCCAAACTCTGGAGGAAAATGTCTCCTTGATTCACGAGGTGTAATAAGGTTATGTATGTTAAACTGAAGCTGTTGCAATAATTGTTCACACCGCCAGCACTAAAACCAGTTAATGCTCTATTCAGTCGTGCCTATCCTCAGCAAAGCCAATGGGCCTCTCCCACCTGGCTGCCGCGCCTTTGAACAGCTCACTTCCTCATCTGTACTACGTCTTCCTTGCTAGGCAGGATCGATCTGCCTTTTGCTTTTGCTTTTTATTTTTTTTTTCTCCCCAAAGAGAAATGCAAGCAGAGAAAAAACTGACCGAAGGGCAGGGAACAGTTAATGACAGAATCTTTAGGGAAGACAAACATCACCTTCCGGCGACTGAAGCAACTGTAGGAATCAGGGCTACAAGACCTGTGCACCATCACCTCGGGGACGGTCGTTGCCTTCCACTTCTCTCCATCCCTTCAGCCCCCAGCCGCCTGCCGGCCTCCAGCATGAAAGTGTAGTACTCGCTGCGGCCGCCCCCCTGCAGACCTCCCTTTCTGGGTCCCACACCCTCATTCCCACTAACCCCCTTCTTTTGGAAAACCTACGTGTTCCCCAGGGAAGCTCCCACCTGTGTGCCTACTTCCCGTCTGCAGGCCACCCCCGCCCGTATGCCGCTACCCCACCAACAGGAAGGCCAGGGCGGGCCGCTCGCAGCCCGCGTGAGCGGCACAGGGACCTGGGGACCGCCACGAGTCTGGGCGCAGAGAGGCGGAGGCGGCAGGGGATGAAGATGAGGGCAGAAATGAGGCACCCGCGGTGCCTAAGCGTGGCCGCGGGGATTTTGGCGCGGCGGCCTCCTCATCCTCCCGCTGCCGCGCCTGCCTCCTCCCCGCCCGCCTCCGGCAGAGAGATGCTGCTGCAGGCGGGTGGGTGGGCGCTCCTCCCTGCGTCAGGAGGTGCGGCTCCCCCGGCCCGGCGCTGCCCTCCCCTTTCCTCTCCCCCCGCCGCTTTTATGTCTGTCTTTAAACGCCGCCGCAGTGAGGGTTGGGCACATGTGGCTGCCACCGCCTGCCCGCCGCTGAGCCCCGCGCCCGCACGGCCCTGCTCGCCATCCTCGCCCGGCCCCCCCTGTTCGCAGCTGGCGCCCGGCGGGCGGAGGTAAGGCACGGCAGGGCACGGCACGGCGCGGCAGGGCACGGCAGGGCACGGCACGGCAGGGCACGGCGCGGCGGTGAGCGTGGGTGCGCGGGGCGGCCCGCGCTCTCCCATCGCTGCCATGCGGCTGGGGCCGCGGAGGAGCGTGGCCGCCTCGCGTGTGTCGCCGGGCGGGAAGGGACAGGATGTGTGGGGGGTTCCTTTCCGCCCGACGTGCGCTTTCCTGCGGGTCGGGGGTCCCCCCAGCCCAGCCGGGGCTTTCGCCCTGGTGCCAGCCTCTCGCTGGCGGGGAGACAGCCGGCCCCTCGGGAAACAATAGCGAGCGCCGGTTAGAAGCCGCCCATGTGTTTTAGCTCGGCGGTGGGCTGAAGGGATGTACGGGGCTGTTTTAATCAGCGTTATTATTGTTATTGCTATTGGCAAGGGCGAGGAACTTATATCTTTTTCCGAGTGAAAGAAATTTCATTCATCTCCCATGTGTTGCGCAAAAAAATATCAGATGCATGTGTAGCGCGTGTTCCGGGAGGAGCGGGGGCGCGGGCTGTCCCCCCCGGGAGCACCGCGGTGATGTGCCTCGCCGCACGGACGAGCCCGGGCTTGGGGAGAGCCGGGCGAGCCGGCCGCGGAGGGAGCCGGGTACCATCGGGAGCGGCCCGCGGGCTCCATCCCCACATGTGCGGCGGGCGGACGCGCCCCGGAGCGAGGGCCGGGCCCGGGCGCTGCATTGTTGCTGCGGAGCGTGGGCGTCGCCCGGTTTCCTCCTACGGTTCCTCACGGTGCCTCACGGTGCCTCTCGGCGCCGCGCCGCTCGCGGCTCTCGCCCCGCGAAGGCGGGGGCAAACCCGCGTCCGGGGGCTGGTGCGCCCCGGTGTCAGCCATGTTTGGGTGGGTATGGTAATAAGGACCTTCTCCGAACCTTTGTGCCTCTTGGATTTATTTTCCGTGCGGGATTTTGATGGTTGTAGCCCGCCGTGTACCGCGACATGTCCACAGGGTAGAGTCATACCTACAGTGTTCTCCTAGTGATTCTTTTTCTCTTTGATTTGCTTATTAATCCTTCTAATTTTCTATTCCCGTAGTGCCTGGTTTTGTTCTCATTTTGCTAGTGTTAGAGCGAACTGGAATTTCTTCGCAAGGCTTTGCTTTTGTTGTGGAAGTAAATGAGACGATTGTAATATGTCTGCACAGTCACACTGACCTGGCACACATGAGAGTTCTGATGGGATTTCATTTATTTAAGTAAATTGCACTGTGTTTTACTTGTTAAAAACCACATTATCATCAACTACTTTATTTCCAGCGTGCTACTGCTTGCTACTGCAAGCTCACTGCTGTAAGATAAACCTAATAATTTCTAAATAGTATGTTATCATCTGTATGTCACTGTGGCATACCATAGGATATGGACCCAATTTCCCCTCTACAAAGAAAAAGTGTAAATGAGGTAAAGATTTGGTTATCTGATGTCATATAAATGTATGCTGGATGTATTGTGCAGCCAGCTTTCTCCATTTCATTAAAAAGTGATGACAGCATAATCAATTTCTCTATTTAGCAGTATATTTCTGATTATCTGCCTCACATTAGAAAGGAAACTACGAAAAATACTTACGAAAGATTGCTTAATTTCATTTTGGCTAATATACAAGTGTTTTGTTTACGCATACCCCATATTAAGATAGTCATAGACTCACAGCCTGCATGCAGTGTATATTGGACACTCCCTTTGGGCTCAGCTTTTTACTTCAGACTCAAGAAAAAAAAATCCCATTGGTTTTGATCTATGCATGAAAAGCCAAACCATTCATAACTGTTCAGATGTGTCATCAGTACAGAAAACTGAGTATGTGAAACTGCCAAGGCATCTTGAAACTAGTTTTAGAGCAAAATCTGATTCCTTTTGACCTTTCATTTCTTGTTCTTACAGTTGTCTTTTTTCCATATTGCAAAAACCCATATGCACAAAAATTTTTAAATGCTGAATTAGTCAGAAAAAAACCCCAAATTATTCAGAAATACATTCTACTCATTGCAGCTATTCCATTTGATTTAGATGACATTGTTAAGGAGTAGTCACTGCTCAAGTGGTGTGGAATTACCACTTGACGTATTTGTGGTAGAATCTTTTTGGGAATTTTTTTTTAAATTCTCTAGACTAGTGTACCAGAAGTGTACACAACATTAAATACATTTTTACCTGTTTTCCCAACTGTTTTCCATTGTTCTGACCATTTCACTCATCTCCATTAGTAATGTTCTTCATTAAAAGACAAAATACCTGTTGATTTTGGAAGAAGTTTTCAGTCCCAAATTTTAATAGATCAGCATCCAATGGTAGCAGCTTTTACACGTCACTTTAGAGATCTTTGAATTCTCAGTTGTGGAATAACTTCAACATATCAGCAGGTGGCTGCTTGGGCAACTCCCATTTGTTCTTGAAAATTGATTCAAAGTAGCCTTGCCATTAGTCAGGAAATGTATTGAAATAATTTAGGGGAAAAAAAAGCATCATTGACAAATGACATCCATATGCTGTTCTACTGAAGAGCTGGAAGCACACATCCTGGTGAGATGGTACAAAATGGTGTGAAAATGCAGTGGTAACTGCCAGAACAGTTGCATTGGGCAACGGCAGTAACTGGACTGAGCTTCCCATAATCCTACCCCGAAACAGAGCTCTGCATTCTTATCATTCACTCCTAAGGTTAGGGATTCCTGGTTTTTATGGGAGAAAGCAAAGAAAAAGTTTGTGTAATGCTGTGGACAGCAGTGTCTCTAGTCATGTAGTAGTCTAGTCTTGCCAGTAGTTTAGTGGCATGACTCTAGTCATGCCAGTAGTCTATTTCCCACTTTGGGGAAAGAGTTTCTTGCTGCTGGCAAATGATAGTTTTGCATTTCAAGTGTCAGAAATGTGTACTGCAGTATTAATAATTCAGCTCTCCTTAAGCCAAAATGGAGAAGGATGAAAACTGTAATAGGACATTTACAGTGTTTGATTTTCTGTAATGGAATTGGTATTAAAATTTTTCTTTCTAAAGACATAGACATTTATTGTAACATAACTTGAAAGCATGACTCATGTAATGAAATCAAATAATCACACGTGATGAGAAGTAAGATTTCCGCTAACCCATATGTTCAGTTTGGCTTTTTGCTTGTATATAAAACAGAGAAAGAAGTAATAGCATAAATTGTTCCCAAGAACACCTTGATTTACTTATTGATCCATTCTAAAGCACAGAGGCCAGAGAATTAGGGTCTCGGGGCAACTGTGTATCTGGTAATATCTAATTTTCAATAATTGATTTTGCAACTTAAGTAATTTTATTGAAATATTAAATATACTTTTACAACCTCTCACTTCTGAGAATTGTGATAAAATTGTACAATAAATGGTTCTCTTGGTTCTCTTATCTCTTATTATGAGCTTAGAATATGGAGATTTTGTTTCAAGTTGCCGGTAGTTGCACCTTTTGAGTTTGACCAACCGGGGGTAGAGTTTCTTCGTAATTGCTGAGATTGCTTCACTTGAAGGAGTGGTAACCACTGAATTTTTTCCTTCAATGAAGTACATATGAGAAAAGACTGCTGAATTACTGATATACTTCCTCCGTTTGAATAGGAGGTTGCAGTTAGCTTGTCCTGTAAGTCTCTGAAGTATTTTAGTGAGGTTGATTTGTGAGAAGAAAATACCTGTGCAGAAGTGAGAAACTACAGTAAGGCAGATTAATTCTTTAGAGATTATGTGCAGTGAAAAGAAAACCTGATGTTTAAGAGCTCTATCTGGGTTGTAACGTTCTGTCTCTAGATGTTTCTGTTGGGCCAGGGATCTGGCAATAATCATACAAGCTGTTAAGATCAAGTCTGTTGATAATGAACAATCCTGAAAAAGAAACTTTGTTGTTTTTGTCAATTTATTGTGTTTGTTCTATAATAGTAGGAAGAATTCTCCTGTAACTGAAATTTAAGGAGACTAATCTGGATTAGAATTTTTTTTGCATTTGAGTCTGTGCAGGGTTTTGTTGAGGATGAAACCATGAACAGAATTTTGTAGGAATGGAGAACAAATTTCCCAGCAGTATGAAACACGCAGAGTCACTGAGGACTGTATAACTACCTGTATCTGCAGCATGTAGGTGAATTCAGTCTGGCATTTTTAAATAGTTTTGTTGTAGTATAAATGATACTATTGTAGATACCAGAATAAAAACTTTTTTCTAATGCATTTAAGTCTCCCATAGCCCACAGAGCTCTTAATTTTTTACAGTGTCATGAATGTGTAACAGATTTCTTTACATTCTTCAGTGATGTTTTCTGAGACATGCTAATACAAGTATAATTGTATAGAATATAATTATCTTTAATTGCAATTGAGTTAAACACCTATTCAATCCATATCTTACTGACAGGCTGTATTAAACTAGGTAGGGAAAAATGCTAGATCATGTGTTTCATGCTGAAGAGCAGCATAATGGTTGCTACAGTTTATAAGATAGAGATGGGCTTGACTAGGCAAAAAGGTTATGGTGTGTATTCCCATTTCCGCCAAAGAACACAATGCTGCATTGCAGCAGTAATTCAGTCTGTGCAATGAGTACTGTAACACAGTGTAACTCTTCCTGAAATAATTATCTGTATTCCCCCAGCGATAGCCATTCTTCACAGTCACAGTAGTCCCATGGAACCTGGTTTGCTCCTGCAGTCTTCTTCCTCTCTTTTTCACTCAGATATGATGGTCACTAGGTATTCCCCACATCCTGTCTGCACAGATTTCTTTTTTGCAGAATTACAGCCGTCCATTGCTCCTAAAACTTCAGTTTTCATTTTCTGCCTTGCTTGTCATTGTATTTCCATCATGCTTTTTCTTCCCAGCTTGTCAACTCATATTTGAGATGCATTTTGCACATTTCCTTTTGGTGAAAAAGCCTCCTCTTCTCCACTTTTGCATATGATTCTTCTCCAGTGATTTCATACAGACTAAAACATTTGGCATGCATATCAAT